TTGTAACAAAAGATGCGAGCAAATTCGATCATTGTAATATTAGAGATGTGAAGCTATTTCTTAATTCTCAGAGTTATCCTTATGGAAATTTAAATCTTAACATAAGTAGAAATCAGTATGCATTAATATATGATATGTTTACTAATTTTCAAGTTTCATACTACAATAAAGATCCAGAGCCTCTATTAACGAAAGCTAAATTTTTAACTGACGCACCACTCTTCATTATAGATTGCTCAAAGCAAAATGAATCAATCAAGTCTGGACCTGTTGATATACGAATTGAATTTGAATCGGAAAATCAGTTTCCTGATAGTACAGCTGCATACTGTCTAATATTACATGATCGTATTATTGAATATAATCCTATAAGTAGTAATGTAAGGAAAATAACATAAATTTGTATTGAAATGCAAATAAAATAAACAATTTAAAATTTAATAAACGTTTATTATTTAATTTATCCCATATTACATAAGTATTTATTTATTATAATTATTATTTAACGCTAATTATTTTTTTCGTCTACACTCATAACAATTTTTCTTGATTGGGTAGAGCCAGATGCCGCAAACATCTTGATCCGGTTTTTCTTCTTCAATTCGATAATGCTCCATGCAGTATTTATACTCCTCAATCAATTTATTCTTCTGTAGATGACCTGGTAGCTTATCCCAAATATCTTTGATTTGCTTCGGAGCAACTTTGAGGAGAAATTTCTCATCTAAGCATGCGATATCGATAGCATGCATTCTGGATAAGCTGCTGAGATTATAAAAAATTTCAACAGACTTTTCATATGAAGCTCCAGCACCCCAAAATTCTATGATCCATCGTTTAAATCGTTGAGTAGTTTCGTATGCGCAAGCGTAATTGAAATTCATTGAATGATGATGTCGATTCTCACAACGATAAATTTTATAAGTCATAACAGCTTCAGGAGAATACAAACGCATATTTTCGATATTAATAATTGGAAGCGTGGTATCAGTCATCAGATCAAGCCAATTTACCTTTCATGCACCATGCACATAAATAGTACGCGCATTATCTGTTAAGCTTTTTATAACATTTTTTCGCATATCATATGGTGTAGCACCAGTATCCCATTGTATTCCATGTTTGTAACCCTTATAATCGGTGGTTTCTGAAACCCACCCTTCATTAGGATTATCAAACGGTGGTTTAAAGATGTAATATCTGCACTCATATGCTCCTCTATTGATAATGTCACCAGAAATATTAATCGCACAAAGTTCTTTAACTATAAACTCTTCACCACGTATATCAAACCCTGTGATATCTAAGATGATCTCCATCTTGTCTATTCCTCCGCTAATCTTTTTTTCAATAGCTCCAATTTTGAAATCTGTTTAATAATTTCCTGTTGAGTCATACGCTCTTTCAATGCTGATAATTTTATAATGTCCGTAATAACTTGAGCAAATTCACGAGCTTGATGAATGAAGATGCTTGCAGTTGAATAAATAGTGAACAATTCAAAAGAGTCTGAATGTTCTGAGGTGTCAACATTTATTCTGTAGTCTGGATAGACTAAATCGTTAATAGCATCATAAACACAACTGCGAGACTTAAGAATATCTTTTTCATGATTTCTCAAATGTTTGAGTAATTCGATAAGCTCATCAAGGGTGTCTATGAGTTGGAGTGTGCTGGGACAAACCGTCAAGTCTCTGAGAACATCCAACAAGTCGTGGTTTTCAATAAGAAATTCTATACCAAACACTTTAAAAAACTGATCTACAAACATAGTACCATCTGTTAGACGACTTCACTCGAAAAAAAATTTTTTAGAACTGTGGATATGCAGTGAGTATTGTTGGGTCTTATAGTCCCGAATCCCCACCAAAAATAGATGAAAATTAGGGGTATTTGTTACTAAAAATGAGTCACAAAGCTGATAAGCTGATCAACAATATGATAAAATAACTAATTTTTCAAAGAAATGATGACTAATTGTCAAAGTATGCTGATCAATAAATAGATTAAATAAATTTTTGGAGAGAAAGTTACTGACTCATAAAGATAAGAAAATTTATTAGATAACAATTGTTCATAAGATAAGAATTTATTAATAATATAACCCCCACCAATAACCCCGCGAAATTCAAAAACAACCTCTCCCCACCCCACATAAGGCCCAAAAGCGCCCTCCAAATTCACGCTCAGAAATGTCAGTAACAAATAATCAACCGTCGATATACCCGATAACGCTAGATAAGTTACCGGCAGAGGGTACACAACTCATCATAGTTCCGGGTGGCGGCTGCTAGGTGGCGCTCGGGGTTGGCCTCTAACCCCCCCTGTTTAACTACTTATGTACAAAAATTTACAGTCCTTAAATTTCTATCACACTACACTACTCGGGTGTATTCTTCTTCTGAGATCCTTGCGGTGTTTGGATTCACTGGTGAGCCACCAATATTTGTCATCTATTCGATGATCATCCATTTTGTCTCTAGTAGGCATGGCTTTTGAATAGGTGAAGTCGACCCATCTAAATTTGGGATCGTCTGCATCATATTCTATCTTTTTGTAGGCTTTGTGTCTCTTCCAATGATAAATAGTTGGTACATTATCTTCGTCTTGGATGAGACCTTTATCATCTAGTGGCAGGAACGCTTGTGGTGAGAGCATGCCTGTTTCATTTCTTTTTTTTAGGTCTTCGGCTGTGAACTTGGCCAGGTTGTTGATCGCAGAATTTTCAATTGATGGTAGCTTGCTGAAATAGTCTCTAATTAAACGGACTATGTGGCTGTCAATTCTTCGGATGTCTGCTAGATTGTATAGCGTTGAATTGCTGATAAATTTATTGTAGTTGGAGGCTGCTGACCTGTAGGCTCCAAGGCATGCTATTAGACACTTTCGTTCAAACACTCTGTAATTTTCCATCACTGCGGCACTTGTATTCCACCAGATTGGTGTGGCGTATGTCAGGATGGGCCTGATAAGTAGTAGATAACATATTATTTTTGCTTTTCTACTTAAATATTTATTATAAAATATTCGACTGTTGGCCTTAAATGCTGCTTTAGCTTTGACGAGCTGTATGTCAGGGTGCTGTCTTATCCTTATGAGCTGGTCAATATGAACTCCAAGGTATTTGACGACTGTTTTATGTGGTATCTTAATCATTTCGTTAGTGTTCGGCACTAGATTTCAAAAATCGGCGAACGGCAAACTGTCAAATTTACGGAAGCTCAGGGAGGGAGGAAGTAACAGAGTTAGTAACCGAGAATTCAATTAACAGTTTTATTTCTCTCAAATCGCCAATATATTTCATAAGTTTCGCAAATCCGGATCAGGACGAGTCACTTCTCGTCAAGATACAAAAAAAAATAATAATAACTGTGATTAGTCGACAATTCGCAATTAGTAACCTAATAAAATAGAATATAAAATACTATTACTACTCTTCAGTGACCTAATCAATTAATCGATACCAAAAATTAATCGGAATCGGAGTAACGCAAAACCAGAAAAAAAAAAAAAAAAAAATTTTGTAATTATACGGCGAGTAACAATTGAATTTATTTTTAAAAA